TAGGTGGTCAACTGCGTTGACAGGGTTTATATCAGATATCTACGTTACGATTCATAACAGTAGCGACATTACAGTTATGAAGTAGCAACGAAATAATTATATGGGGTGGTGGCGTCAACACAGCATTAGGAAGGTTGAGAAGCACTGTTTTAAGGTCATAAAAAACGTCTTTCTTTTCCACTTCGACAGGAGGAAGGAAGTTTCGAAAACAGAATGCAGGGGGCGGGGAGGATTTTTTTTTTAAATTTTGTTTTGACCAGATATTACAATTTGTAGAATTCAGAAAGAAAACGAAGCGCCTCACTAACCACGAAGGGATTCGAACCCTCAATCTTCTGATCCGAAGTCAGACGCCTTATCCATTAGGCCACGTGGTCACGGCCCTGAGTTGTTCCCATAAGACTTAGGAAGTAAAATCAACTTTCTGCTGAGCTCTGGAGGCGCATCATGCAAGGCAATTCGGTCCACACCGCGGATTTCTGTGGATTTTTTGGGCTCTCAGGGTCGGATTCAGGAAATGATGAGACCAGCAATACATGGCTGGTTTACGGAGAGAAAAGTCGTTTGCGTGTACTCAAAACCGCTTCACTGCTCGCTCTCCTTTGCACTCACCCACCATGTACAAACTCACACCACGCGTCTGCTACCCTCCCCCACCTTCTGGTATTTTTGCTTATTTATTTATTTATTTATTTATTTATTTATTTATTTATTATCACTTTTGTTACAGCACTTTTCAAGATACATACTTGTTCACTTAAAAAAGAAAAAAATTAATAGTTTTATTGGAAGCCTCTGGTGTCATGAGAGGTACAACGCCATTATTTTTTTAAGTTAGCTTTCACTAAGAAGAGAAGTAGAAAAAAAAAATCGACTATTAGCATTTTTTACAGTTAAGTCATGACTCAAAAAAGGCATTAAAATCATTTTAGAGAAGAACCATTCATAGAGTTTATGATACTTTCATGATTGCTACACAGTTACTGGAGTGCAGAAATGAGGCCTTTTATGTAGCCTTTCTTTCCTGTCAGTAGAATAACATCTGGAAAACAACAAGAATGAAATAGAAATATGAATTCTCTACACACATATTTGTTCTGGAGTCTCACAATCATTTTTCAGGTGAGCTTAGTTCACACAGACACTTTCTTCAGTTCTGTAAAAGCTGACTGTGGAATTGTAACAGGGCCCGAGACCTTAGCACAGCTGACTACTTCAAGGTTGAAGGGCCATTCAGTCTGTAAAATTCAGCAGGGAGACAGCACCACCTGCCAAAATGAAAAAAAAAAAAAAAAAGATCTAACCTATCAAAGTCCTTAGTTCTGGGAAAGTCTTTATAGTTCTGCTTCTGGCTAACTGTTCTAGTTAACCGGAGTATGTCAACCCAGGACATGAGTTTTTGTGCTTAAAAACCCATCTTGAGGAGGCTTGGGGCGACACTGGGATCCAGAACCCACACTGTATTCCCTGGCTGTCTTAAAAACAAAAACAAAAACAAAAACAAAAACAAACGAACTTCCTATTGGTTTAAACTCACACATGAGCAGTCTTCTCTGGTGGACCCCACAACAGAATGTTGTTTTGTTTCTTCCTGGAGTTGGAGATTGCTTGAAAAACTGCTTAGGTGTTCAAATGGCAAGTGCAGTCTGTGCCTTAACTACCATGGGAAATGGGTGCTTGAAATGGTGAGAATGGTTGATGGAAGTCTTATCCCTCTTCAAGACTTTTATATCTGAGGTTACAACAAAGTTTGTGTTAACTAAACGGACTTATCAGGTATTTATGTACATGTTTATATATGTAATGATAATAACAATAATAATGAAAGAGGTCATGAATTTCGTAGGGATCGACAGGATGTATATGGGAGGAGTTGGGTGGAGAGGGAGGGGGGAAATGATATAAGTACATTTTAATTAAGAAAAAACCTGCAAAACAAACAAACAACCACCCTCCAAATTTGTGTTGAGTAGGTTGGAGGAACATTTGGGAGGATGGTGTGTGTGTGTGTTTGTGTGCTTGTGTTGAAGATCTGGTTTGCTAAGTTTGTGTACGGAATGTTAAAGTAGAGATGACTAATTTAAGAGGGTCAGTCTTACTTAGTTGAATATAGACAGCACCAGACATACATGTGGAAGCAATACCATTCAGCCTGTACTAGGTGTCCTCTGTTCTAATATTTCATCCCATTTCCAGTGGCTGAAGAACTGAGCTGAGAGCTACTTCTCTTTTCAGAACCCCCTCCCTCATCTCCATATTCTTCCACACTGAATTATTATAGGTAGAAAGGTTTCACTCTCATGTGTCCTTCTGTTTATTTCTTTGCCCAGAATGTTATTTATGTATTTATTTATTTATTTATTTTTCTGTCTTGCAAGCACTTACTCAAGTTTCTCATCAAAATCCATCCTTTTCTTTTCTGGTCTATAATGTCGGTGTGGTGACTACAGAAACTCCATTTTATGCTAGGTATCCATCTTGGTACTCACTCACCATTTGTCTCTGACTCCAGTCCCTGGAAGATAAGTTTCCAGTAACCACGACTCAATGAATCCTACCCAAAAGACGTACAGCTGTGATGATCTATTTTTTTTTTTAATTATATGACTGCTTGTTTTCGTTCTGTAACTTGTGTACACAGATACCCAAATAGTGTTTCCTTAACCACTTCACTTAGTAAAACTGAACAGTTTTTAGTTGGTTGCATAGATATGGAAGGTCTTCTTGTGGTTTTCCCCATTTAAAACTCTTCCCCAGGACCCTCCTTTATGGTAATCTCAAATTTGGCTCAGAGATTGTCCATCCTGCTTAGTAGCTGATCAATTAATCTTTTCATTATAACTGGATTGAGTCTATGGCCTATTCCCAGGGAGGGGGCACAAACTCTGTAATTCTAAGGCAAAGCTACCAGTGCCGAACTGCTCTGTGCGATTTCTACTTGGTGCTGTGGATAATTGCTATGGTGGTGATCCTTGATCACACCCTGAAAAGTGAAATCCCAGAATGTGTACATGGCTCCTGGCTACATTCCTGAAGCAGGGAGTAACTATGACCCATGCTGGTAGCACATTTAACACAGATATGACCTGTGAACATGTGGTCACCAGGGAACCAGCTCAAGGTAACAAAACTGACTCCTGTTCAAGTGGCTTTATTTACTAGATAGCAAAGACGGATACTAATGTAGCTCTCAGCTGGAGACAAGAGTGTCTGCCACCAAGGAGGAGAGGACAAGAAAGCCTTCTCTGGTTGGTCACCTTTGTGGCAGTCTTTGTAATCTTTGCTATAATCTTTAAGAGTGTACACTGAGCTAGTACAAGACTTTGAGACAGCGTTTCTCTGTGTACCGGCTCTGTAAATGGGGCTGGCCTGGGAACTCAGACATCCACCTGCCTGTGCCTCCTGAGTGCTGGGATTAAAGATGTATGTCAATATCGCCTAAGTAGTCCTCTTCTTTTTTTTTTTTTTAAATTATTATTTTTAATGTCTGTTGCAAGAAAAAAAGGCTACTAGGTGCTTGGTGGCTTTGTCAATTATTCTCAAGGGCTGATTTTGACCGTTATCCCCCACTGAGAAGAAATAAAAATCCCCATCACTCACAGTGTAATGAAAGAGAGGCCATGACGGCATCGGACATAAAAAATTTAGGCAGGAATCCTTCCTGGGAGAGAAATATGAGACAGTGAATTCATAGCTTGGGAAATAAGCGTAGAAAATAGCTATAGCTTCGCAAAGGACTTGTCAGGAAGGAGGTGATTAAAGACACAGGGCTGGCAGCAGATATGGTTTTCTCAGTCAGACTTCAAATAAAAGACCCCCACCCCCGACACACTTCCCTAACTCCACACTTCTCAAAACACTACCCATTGGTGTCAAGATTAACACTGTAGTAATCGCAAAGAATATTGGCAAGTAAGGTCTTATAAACTATGTAATGAAAGAAATTGAACTGTTCTCCCCCTTGTATATATGCTTTTGATTAGCGATTTTAGGCGTTATAAGGCAAAACAATCAGAATAAATCTGGTTTGTTATTAAGAAAACACATTAGTTACCACTTGAGCGTCTGTGAAAAAAATTCCGGTTTATTTTCGCAGGTGTCATTTGACTATTGTGAAAAGAACCTAAAGTACTCGGAGTGGAAAAATAGTAAAACTTGGATAGCAGAGGATGGTTTCGATCCATCGACCTCTGGGTTATGGGCCCAGCACGCTTCCGCTGCGCCACTCTGCTCGACAAGACCAGTAGAGCTAATAATATTCTTAACGTGGATTGTAGTTGCTGTCCTATGTCCATTTTATACATGGTAGGAAGTCATTTTGTAACTTTGTCTACCCAAAGGAAGCTACTTGTTGGGAATAATATCGCTCCCTAACCAAAGAGAAAGCAAGATTCGGACTATAGCAGCAAACATTAACATAATAGTGAGTCGACGATGAGAAAGACAGGTAACTAAACGAGAATCACGAATTTTAGATAATGGAGAAACAAGACAATACAGACACGGTCCTCAGCACGGCACGTAGTAACAGTCTTAGTGACCAGCCACGCATTTACCTGCGGGAAGCAAGACCTTGGGGTCAGGTTTGTCTTGAGGTCGAGATCGTGGAGGGAATGGTGCTATGTTCTCTCCAGTGATTGGTCATTAACTGCAGGATAAAACTATGGGAAGTGGACTCACACGCAACCCGTATCAGCAGTTCTGATAGTCTGAATGACCAAAAGTCTGCTGTCGCCCTAATACGTAGCAAGTGGCGAATGTGAATCATTAAAGAGATTCTTTAGTCTGAACTACTTAAAATGGCCGGGAAATCCTATTTTGGGACAAAGGACCCAGCACAGGAGCCACAAGCGTTGGTGACGTCACCAGCCAGGGCCCTAGTAGGGGCGGGGCGGATGCTCTCGAGCTTTCAGTCTTCAATTAGGTCCGAACACTCTGCATATAAGGGAAGTGCTTGCACCTCTCCCGCTATTGAGGTGTAGTCATCGTACTGCTTAGCCATGTCTGGTCGCGGCAAAGGAGGCAAAGGCCTTGGTAAGGGAGGCGCCAAGCGCCACCGCAAGGTCCTCCGCGACAACATCCAGGGCATCACCAAGCCCGCCATCCGCCGCCTGGCTCGCCGTGGCGGAGTCAAGCGCATCTCCGGCCTCATCTACGAGGAGACCCGCGGGGTGCTGAAGGTGTTCCTGGAGAACGTGATCCGCGACGCGGTCACCTACACGGAGCACGCCAAGCGCAAGACCGTCACTGCCATGGACGTGGTCTACGCGCTCAAGCGCCAGGGCCGCACGCTCTACGGCTTCGGCGGCTGAGTTCTTGGTGTCCCGGCTTGCAAGAAAACCCAAAGGCCCTTTTCAGGGCCGCCCACGTTTTTCAGTAAGAGGGCTGCCATTTCTTTATCCCCTTTCCTCAACTCTCGTTTTACCAGTGTTTAAAAAAAAAAAAACCTTGTAATGCGACCTACATCTATATGTTAACCCTTTTTTATAAGGTTTGCTACCTTGAAGGCTCAAGAAGTGTACATACACAGAAACGGTAATGCGCATTACCTGGTATTAAGCGTCCTGTTTGTAGATGGCTCTAGTTTTATGCTCGGAGTCTGCAGGAGGCGGCTTTTGGCTGCTTTTGGCACATCTAAGGTGGAGGGTTGGTGTTAGTTTACAGGAAGGATTTTAAAGTTGGGCATTAGATACAATATGAAACTGGGTGGTTTCATACTGTTTATGCAAACATCTCAACTTTGGACTTATGAATAAACAACCTAAGGGGCTATAAGCACATTGCTATTTTCAATGTTGCCCATGTTTGTAACTTCAGGAATCTGCTTTTAGCTTGGAGTGCTAAGATTTGAGAGTACTGTACACCGAACAATTTGTCCTGACACCTTGTTTTAAAACAACAGGAAAGGTGCCAGGAAGTAACTTGTAACCCCTGAAATAAACACAACAATGGAATTTGATTTTTAACACTCCCCCGCCCCTCATGATGCAACTCAGTTTAACAGGCTTTGGCTTCTGTAGCAATCGTTATTTTACTCGCTGAACCTTCTGGCTGTCTCTTTGTTTCTCAGTTTAATTTTTATTAGTTATTATATTTTTGGTTTTTCTTTTTTGGGTCAGTTTCTTTGTGTAACCCTGGTTGTCCCGGGAATCACTAGACTAGACTGGCCTCGAGTTCAGAGATCAGCCTACCTCTACCGCCTGCCTTTGCCTTTAATCCTGAGTGCTGGGATAAAAGGCCTGTGCCACCACGGCCCAGCTCTCAAAGGTTTCTGTGGGTAAATGAAAAACAAACAAACGTGTTTGAGGAAGAAGAAAAGTATTCGAGGCTTTTTTTTTTTTTTTTAAATTTGAGCACACTAGGAGTCAGCCACTGTTCTGTGCTCTGGGGATTATAGGTATGAATAATTTAAATGTATGTTTGTGCACCATGGGCACAAGGAGGCCAGAAGGTTTCAGATCTCTCTGGGACACTGAGGTTCAAGACAGTTGTGAATCACCATGTGGTGTTGGGAATGGATCCTCAGTCCTCTGCAAGAGCAGCCAGTGCTCTCAACATCTGAGCATTTTCTCTAGCCCAGGACAAAATATTCTTAAGTATTCCTTGACTTTGTGTCCATTGAGTGTGGGAATGTAGACAAATCAAGTAGTTCAGTGCTAAGTGTAATGCTCATTACTGAAGCAGGAAAAGGCATGGTTAGTGTCAGCAGGAGGTAATACTTATTTAGGTGACATGGTTATAGAAAGCTTTAGTAATAAGGTGATGACCTGGGGGTGGGGGGGGGGATGACAATGTGGAAGTGAAGGAGGCTTCTTGCTACATCATCTAGGAAAGCCTGGGCAGCAGTCAGTCTGCAGCCCACATGCAAGTGAGTGGTGAGTGGTTCTTGGGTGCTTTTGTGGGATATTGGAACTACTTTGGGTTTTACTCTCATTGAGGTGGGGGAGGTGGCTGGGGTTTGAGCTGAGAACAGGCAATATGTAATTTATATTTTAATACAATGAATATAGATGGAAAAAACAGTGATAAGGAAACTAGTAAGGCTAGTACAACGACTTAGTTTGTGGAGGACATTGGTTTGGTCAGTGGCCAAGGTTATGAAAAGTAACCACTTTCCTATGTACGGTTTTGCAGGTTTAAGGCCTACCCTTACACGTGTATATTTCTAGCTTTGATTTTTTTTTTTTCAAAAGTGGAAAAAATGTCAATATAAAAAGTATTGAAGGTTGGGGCTAGAGATATGTCAGTGGTAATGAAGAGCGTATACTGCTCTTGCAGAGATGTGGGATCCCCTAAGTGTCTCAGTTTCCATCTGGAGTCTATTCTGACTTATAAATCATTTATACTCAAGCTTGCTTATTTTATGTTCCTTGAGAGCCGTGATAATGTTCTTATTAAGCCCATGGGAAAGAACATATTTTAAATAATGAAGCTGATTGCTGCTAGCCCCACTCATGAGATAGAAAGCAAGCCTGTCTGCTCCTTTAATTGAAGGGCAGAGCAGAGGGCTGACTTACTGACTCTGCTGCTCATTGTTCTGCCCTTTGCTTCTAGTCTGTATATAAGCAGGTTCTAAATTAAACTCAGGGTTGTTCAGTGTGCTGTTTGGCACCGAATGTACAGTTCACACCAACTCTGTCTTGTTGTCTTTGTACCCTGTCTCAGGTATCCCAACTGACTGGGAGCAGGCTCTGACACGGAGGATCAGTGCCTTCTACCTGTGTTGGCTGGCTCATAACAACCACATGCATCTCCAGTTCCAGGAGGAATCTTCTGTTGAGGGACACATGCATATAATAAAAAGTAAAATAACCCGCTTGAGTGTTGAAGCTAAAATCAGCAGTGCTTTGTATATTCATTAACATCTTCCTCAGTCTGTTCAGGTGAGACATTATTCCTAGCAAGTTTCTCCTTTTGTTTAGTCTTTCCCTAATTAATTCTTGTTAGCTCTAGTGAGTTTGTGGAAGAGTCCTGTAAAGGCTTTACATTGCTTGAGATGGCGGTTGAGGGGTGACAATATTTAGGGACAAAGGATCTTGGATGTCCCAATAACACTAGAGAGAGTTGTACTATTAGAAAAGCATCCTTTATAGGGCAAGTTGAAGAACTTTGCCACCAAAGTTTAGCAAAGCTGCTAGGCCACAGCCTCATTAAAGCCACAGGTTAGAGGTCTCCTCTGTGAGATCCAAGGCTTGAAGCACAATAGACCACTACCTTGGTGCACTCACTGTCCAGTCTCAACTGCTTTTATTAATTTCAGGAATACCACACAGCAATTATGTATCTCCTATTTAGGGTTAGGAAATACTCCAAGGAGGTTTAATTGCTTCAGTACACAATTTTAAGCATTTACAACTCTTACTTTGTCTAGAGGAATGTATTAAATGTTTGAGTATTTCTGAATAAATTGTTTCTAAAGAGTCCTTAAAGTTAGGTAACAAGATTGAAAACTGGTAAATTTTGATTACAAGTCTCTACGTTATTGTGCCACTTAATATTCATATTAATTTATTTAGTAGGCACTTGCTGATAAATCACGAAAGTAATAAGAAATACTGACTTCAGATGGACTGCCTCAGTTCTCCTTTATTTAGATTTCAAATTTGGGGGCTGGGCATGTCGGCATACATCTTCAAAAACCCAGCAATCGAGAGGTAGAAGAGGCCAGCCTGATCTACAGTGAAATCCAGGAGAGCTATAGTGAGATTGTCTCAAACAAAACCATAGACCGGGAAAAAAAAAAAAAAAAAAATAAGGCCAGGCAATGGTGGCTCATGTACACAAGGAGACTTGTGATTAATTTTAGTTTATATGAAAACAATTACCTGATTGCACATGAAAGTAACCACCGCTTTAGGAAGCTTAATACAATATAAATATACCAGATGTTTGTTTAAAGTGCAAGGTATGGATAGAAACTGCAAGAATGGATTTAAACTTGAATAAGCCACTAGTGACCAAATGAAAAGCATGTTCTAGCCAAACACTGCATTCTGCTTACACCAACAAAATGCACTCATAGAACACACATCTGGAATTACAGTTCCTTTTAACGAATAAATGAGTGGCTCTGAAAAGAGCCTTTGGGTCAAGAGTGATGTCAGCGACTCACTTGGAGCTGGTGTACTTAGTGACGGCCTTGGTGCCTTCGGACACGGCGTGCTTGGCCAGCTCCCCGGGCAGCAGCAGGCGCACGGCAGTCTGGATCTCCCGGGACGTGATGGTCGAGCGCTTGTTGTAATGCGCCAGGCGGGAAGCCTCGCCCGCGATGCGTTCGAAGATGTCGTTGACAAACGAATTCATGATACCCATGGCCTTGGAGGAGATGCCCGTGTCGGGGTGCACCTGCTTCAGCACCTTGTACACGTACACCGAGTAGCTCTCCTTGCGGCTGCGCTTGCGCTTCTTGCCGTCCTTCTTCTGCGCCTTAGTCACGGCTTTCTTGGAGCCCTTCTTTGGGGCAGGAGCAGACTTCGCGGGTTCAGGCATGATAGACAAAGGCACAAACAAAATGCAAAAGAACAAGACAGAGAGGCTTTAAGGTCTTGTGCGCTCTCTGCTTTTAAACAAAGCTGTGGCTGTCCTCGCTAGAGAGTCTGCAAACGTCATGCAGTAACTGTCCAATCAAAGCAAGAATATTTCAAATCCACGTTACCATTGGTTTAGGTGAAGCAGTACGTATAGCCAATGAACTCCCTCTGTTTTCGCGCCAGAAGATGCTTATAAATTCGCTTCTGTGATCCTTTTAGTCTACCCTTAGCTGTGTCTCAGATACTTTCACAATATGTCTGGACGTGGCAAGCAGGGTGGCAAGGCTCGCGCCAAGGCCAAGACCCGATCCTCCCGTGCCGGCCTGCAGTTCCCCGTGGGCCGCGTTCACCGCCTCCTCCGCAAGGGTAATTACTCGGAGCGGGTAGGCGCTGGCGCCCCGGTGTACCTTGCGGCCGTGCTGGAGTACCTGACTGCCGAAATCCTGGAGCTGGCCGGCAACGCTGCCCGCGACAACAAGAAGACGCGCATCATACCGCGCCACCTGCAGCTGGCCATCCGTAACGACGAGGAGCTTAACAAGCTGCTTGGCCGCGTGACGATCGCGCAGGGCGGCGTCCTGCCCAACATCCAGGCCGTGCTGCTGCCCAAGAAGACCGAGAGCCACCACAAGGCCAAGGGGAAATAAGGCTACTCTGCCTTCACTATAAAAACAAAGGCTCTTTTCAGAGCCACCCACTCATTTCCGTAAAGTGCTGCATGCTACAGGGGAGTCACAGTCAAATCTGTTTGGTTAGATTCTAGGACTAGGAACTAAAAATGTCGAGTGTTTTAACAATCAAGTCCCAAAATTGTTCTAACTTCCTCAATGAAATTGTGACTTTACCCGCATCAGTTGCAAAATCTGCAGTTTTAGTCTGATGTGTGCATACATGAGTAAAAGTACCGTGAGCTGCAATTCTTAAGAATTTTAGGGAAGGAATTATTTTAAGAGACTTTGGAATTTGAAAATAAGGCAAGGTAGTAAGAACAAATAAGGTGTGCATATACTTATGAATTGACTCCAGGCAGAATAGATTGATTCTGTTAATCAAATTAAGAGGACAAAGAGAAGATCTCATAACTCACTGGAGGGATTGATTTTGGTTTTTAAGTGTCTCGTGTGAAAGACAAGCCATATATATATATATATGTATATATATATGTATATATATATATATACATGCTAGTATACGTCACATATTTTCGCTCATTTAGTGCTTTATCCAATTTAGCGTCTTAAAAAATAGGAAAAGAAGGTGGCTGAACAACGGCCAGCATGGCAAACGTTAATACCCACCCATAGGGTATTATGGTATTTGTTAGTTTAAAGCTTTACCCAAAGTGACAAGGCAGAATTCAGAGGCTAGTTGACATGTGTTGTTCACATTACTTCCTTGCTACACTGTTTACTGGTGATAGATATCCCATCACAAACTCTCCAGGAACCCTTATGCATGGTGCTAGAACACCGCATTCCGGGGACTAGAAGGGAAAAATAAAACCCAGGCAGGGTGAAGAATATGTTCTCCATAATGATTTTTGATATCTAGAGTGTCATGACATTTTACACTCGGAATCTTTTGTACTCTAGTTTTGCAAGAGGTTGTACATAAGTCAAGCATGGAGTCATAAATTCAAAAAAGCTCTGGTATGCCAGGCTAAAAGAAATGTCTTGCATAGCAATTCATCCCATCAGTATGCATGAGTTAACCAATCAACGCCTGAAATCTTCAGCCAATAGTACTATTGCGCGGGAGTTTTGTAAAGTGCATAACCCTATCAGGCTGTGTCTCTGGGGGGAGGCGGGGAATCCAAGCTGGTACGTGTGTTTGCGCGTCCACGCCTCAAACCTACATAAAGGCGTCCCTTGAGCAAACTTGTTGGATTTCATAGTTCCATTGCTGTTATGGCTCGTACCAAGCAGACGGCTCGCAAGTCCACCGGCGGCAAGGCCCCGCGCAAACAACTGGCCACCAAGGCTGCTCGCAAGAGCGCCCCGGCCACCGGCGGCGTGAAGAAGCCCCACCGCTACCGGCCCGGCACCGTGGCGCTGCGCGAGATCCGGCGCTACCAGAAATCCACCGAGCTGCTGATCCGCAAGCTGCCGTTCCAGCGGCTGGTGCGCGAAATCGCACAGGACTTCAAGACCGACCTGCGCTTCCAGAGCTCTGCCGTCATGGCTCTGCAGGAGGCCTGCGAGGCCTACCTGGTTGGTTTGTTTGAGGACACCAACCTATGCGCTATCCACGCCAAGCGAGTCACCATCATGCCCAAGGACATCCAGCTTGCCCGCCGCATCCGTGGAGAGAGGGCATAAGGCATTCTGTCTGAACCACGTTTTAAAGGCTCTTCTTAGAGCCACCCACCTTTACAGAAAAAAGCTGTAATTTCTTCCCATTTCGATAGGTTTTAAAATACCACACTATCTTTGCCAAATGTACTAAGGCTCTGTCCCTTGTCACGGAATTAGTTACAAGCGTGCAAATATTTCTTTCGGGTAAGCCTGGCTTTTATGGCTTGTAACTGCAACTTTCCCCCCCCCCCCCAGACTTTATGTGTGGTATCTGTTTACCAATTCAGTTTCTCCAATTTTACCCACCAAGAAATCCTTAGGCGCTCCCCTCCCCCGCAATGTATTCACCCAAGGTATTGACTTAGGCATTCTAGGCTAGCCTGGAAGTAGCAATGTCACAGAATGGTCTGCGATTGAAATACCTTGCTGTCAGCCAGCCCACCTCTGCAAAATGCTGGGACTAAAAAGAGTGTGTACACCTATGTGCCCAACCCTCCTCCGTGCTTTTCATTATTTGAGGTGCTGAAACTTCATAGAAGCCATCCACGTGGTCACTGGGCTTGTTATGTTCACAACCATGTTTTAGTTTTGAAGGTTTGCTTTTAAGTCTAAACCAGTGACTCTGAAGGAAAACTTTGCTGTATGGAAGCTGAAAAAACAGCCAAGAACCTATGCTATTTCATTGCTTTGTTTAAAGAACATAACATTACAACTCTTAAATGAAGACATGATGGCTATGAAAAGAGCCTTTGAGTTAAGAGTGAGGCCATCGCACTCACTTGGAGCTGGTGTACTTAGTGACGGCCTTGGTGCCCTCGGACACGGCGTGCTTGGCCAGCTCCCCGGGCAGCAGCAGGCGCACGGCCGTCTGGATCTCCCGGGACGTGATGGTCGAGCGCTTGTTGTAATGCGCCAGGCGGGAAGCCTCGCCCGCGATGCGCTCGAAGATGTCGTTGACGAACGAGTTCATGATGCCCATGGCCTTGGAGGAGATGCCCGTGTCGGGGTGCACCTGCTTCAGCACCTTGTACACGTACACCGAGTAGCTCTCCTTGCGGCTGCGCTTGCGCTTCTTGCCGTCCTTCTTCTGCGCCTTAGTCACGGCTTTCTTGGAGCCCTTCTTTGGGGCAGGAGCAGACTTCGCGGGTTCAGGCATAATAACTAAAGAGAAAGATTAGAAAAACATCAGAGAAAGAGTTCTGACAACGTTTTCTGCTGTCTCTGCTGTCTGTGTCAGTCTTTCCTGGAGCGTCTGCAAACGTCATTCACTAACTGTCCAATCAAAGCAAGCATTTTATCTAGCGATTAGAGTGACGTACGCTTGGAAAGACAAGAGGACTATTGTCCCAGGCTGTCTATGCAAATGAAGTATGAACCTCTTTTGTTTCTGATTGGCTAAGGGTAACAACAGACGCTTTATACCCAAATTAAACAAAGCTTGTAGAAAACCTCGTTGACATCACAGTAAAGGCAAAGTCTTTTTCTTTTTAAATGTTAAAGAAAATGATTTTGCCAGTAGTATCCATGAATTCTGTCCCCTAGGCAAAAAGCTGGATAGAAATTCTAGCTTCACATAGTTTGGTTCCTGTTTCGAAGTCTATGAAGACCCCCGAGGGGAGATATCAAAAATTATTCCTCTAATGCTTCTAGAATTCCTAATTATTGGAAATTCCGTTTTAAGTAGGCAGGTGTTTTTTCTTCTCAAGAAACAAAGAAACTTCCATTTTGCAACAATAGTGCAATTTTAATGAACCTCCGACAAAGTTTCTGGAAATTAGATTTTTTTGACGATGCATTCTTAATTAGCTTTTGAGGCTATGGTAATCATAAAACTGGTGAATTCCTTAAAAGATGAACAAAATTGAGTGTGTTGGTGCATGTCTGTTAGGCAATATTTGGTTCTGAGAGGACCATGCCTCCTTTCCTTCCTGCAAATACAATATAAAGCATAGTACAAAACCCAGCTTGGCTAATAAGTTCAACCAGAATTACTCACGGGTCGTCAAAATCTCAATAGTCTCCAATTTGTTAGTAAGCAAAATTAACAATTTAGCTACTTAGTGGCAACAATGTATCTAAGAAAATAACAGGGAACAAAGAATCAACAATGTATCTAAGGGAATAACAAAGAACAAAGAACCAGAGGCTACGTATTTTGAAATTGAGGTCTGTTATCCAATGACCTATTACTTCCGCATACATCAGTCATGGCGCGGCGTTTGAAGATTCCCACCAATCAGGAAGACCTTGCTGTTATAAATTGGAACCCACAAGCTTCTGTCTCGCTTTTGTCAACTGCAGGTATGGCTCGTACGAAGCAGACAGCTCGCAAGTCCACCGGCGGCAAGGCTCCGCGCAAACAGCTGGCCACCAAGGCTGCTCGCAAGAGCGCCCCGGCCACCGGCGGCGTGAAGAAGCCCCACCGCTACCGGCCCGGCACCGTGGCGCTGCGCGAGATCCGGCGCTACCAGAAATCCACCGAGCTGCTGATCCGCAAGCTGCCGTTCCAGCGGCTGGTGCGCGAAATCGCACAGGACTTTAAGACCGACCTGCGCTTCCAGAGCTCTGCCGTCATGGCTCTGCAGGAGGCCAGCGAGGCCTACCTGGTTGGTCTGTTTGAGGACACCAACCTATGCGCTATCCACGCCAAGCGAGTCACCATCATGCCCAAGGACATCCAGCTTGCCCGCCGCATTCGTGGAGAGAGAGCATAATTTATGTCTGTCGATTGTAAAGTTGTGAAGAAATACAAAGGCTCTTTTCAGAGCCACATCCACGATTCTATGTAAAGGGCTGGTAAACATAATTGTTACGTTTTGGAGATAAGTTTTCAGTGTTTTCATCTTTGTTAGTTAGTTCCATAAAGTTTTAATCTTAATCTCAGTGCTATGCATTAAATCCTTCACAGTAGGCACTACTGCACTTCTTTATTAACAAAGGAGTCAAAAATGCTTAACCTTTTAGCTATAACATTTTCTTATTTTTTAAAATGTTTTTTTCTTTAGTAACACCATTCTCCATCCTTTATAAAATCTATAATGCTAACCCTTACTTTCTCATCCCATGGCAGTTCTAAAATAAGTTTTCTAATTTAGATACAGTCTCTCTTTGATCCTGTCCTGGAACTTTTTAGACCATGCTGTCCTTGAACTCTGATCTTCCTGATTCTTCCTCCCCACTGCTGTGATTAGTGGCGTGTGTCATCAACGCCCTGCTAGAATAAATCTTTAGGACAGTATACTGGGCATGTAGAGCAACTCTACACATGTCACTAAGACAATCGAATGTAACTTTTGTTGATTTTCGTCCTGATGTAATTTAGCAGCACTAAACACTAACCTAAATCACTAGAACTAGAGATCCTCGTTGGGAGTGGTGACACAAGCCTTTAAGTGCAGTATTTGGGAGACAAGCCAAGCCAGAGCTACACAGAAAACCCTGCAGCAATCAAACACAATACAGATCCTCACCTTTCTCAATCCGTTGTTTACAGTAAATAATATTTTTTCTTTATTCTGTATGTTAGTTGTTTTGAGAATTAAGTAGCTAGGGAACTTTTTTTTAGGTCCGGTCTGTTTGGTGTACTATTTCTAGTACTTTCAGTGGCATGTCCTTCTTCAGATTGGGAAAGATTTCTTCAATTATTTTGTTGACTATCCCGTTAAAGATCCAGGAGCAGACACTGGTATCCATGAGAATGTGGGAATGTTCTATTTGACAATTGTTTGCTTCTAAAAATTGTTTTGTCATTAAAAGAAGTGGGGGTAGAGTCTGAGAGCACTAGGCTAGCATACATCTCAAGCAATGTCTATTGGGGTCATGGAGTTGTATGTCTATAATTCTAGAATTTGGGAGGTGAAGGCGGGAGGATCAGCTGTTCAAAGTGAATTTTAACAAAATGGCTACCTCATTCGCAGCCCTAGCTTTATAAGACATTGTCTTTAAAAAAAAAAAATGGTATATGAGGTATAGTTCGAGTTAACGGTAGTCATATTTTAACAGAAAACATGTGAATTGGATAGTATATTATTTTTTTAACCTTATTTTGTTTTGTTATGAATGGAAATTATAAGAAAAATTCCCTTATTCTTGGGAGTTACATGTTGAAATATCCAGGGATAAAGTTTCATGTCTGAATTTTACTATCAAATGTTTCAGACCATTAAGTCACATACACACCGAGTATAGTAGTTGTTGGGGGTAGATGATACAATTATGTATCTGATTTCACTCTGTATTCTTATTAAGAATGTTGGGAAATTAAATGGATTATAAAATTATGTTAGAGACTCTTTAGTGCTATCTCAAGAGAGAGATAGGTCCTCTTAGCAGGTAACTATATAGGCCTACCTATATAGGTATACCTATATAGTGCAGGCCGTGGGCATGGATGTTGTTTTCTTTGTCGTGTGTCTTGATTGTGAAGTCAGCTGGAGTGGGAGGATCTACAAACAGGGCATGGTCAGGCAATACTATCGAAGGTTAGTAGGGATACCAGATTAAGATGCAACCAAGGACGGTAAACAGTTTAACATTTGTGGACATGGAGAACAGGTGAGAGAGGAGGCATATAGGCCTGGCAGTATTGAGCAAAGAGGTTTCTTATAAAGTGAGAAATCCAGAACTAATTTTATGCCTGGTATATTGTAATAAGGTCTGGAATGACACAGAAGTGTCAAAGTTACTGCTTGCCAGCCACAGGTACTTAGACATGCCAGACTCTTCAGAGACTGACACACAGAAGATGATAAGGCCCAGAGTTCACTTTTTAGAGTTACTTGCCTTTTCTGTTTGCCTTGTTAGACCCATAATAAAATAAATATGCTAATGCTTTCATGCTTTTTTCAATTGTTCTGGTTCATGGATTATAGATTTAGTTTCACCACATTGTACAGAATTTAAAAACATGGATATTTGTGTATTAAACATGAAGTTGGATGTTATATTTAGAATATACATTCAAAGACAAATCTACAGAAAGCAAGTGCTTTGTATGGGGTCACCTTGATGCTTAGACCTAAAGTTGAGGGTTTCTGAGAGTAAGCTTTCTAGCAAGTCTTACTAGATGCAAGTTGTTCACAGGTTGTTTGTAACCTGTCAGGCTAATAGGACTTCAAAAATATTTTTCTTCAAAGCTAAGGTTTTGAACCTAAGTAGTTCTACACAGGTATTCCTGGTCAAAAATCTCACTGTTATATTGCAGGTCAAAGAGATTTTAGAGGGAAGCCAGTTTTATCTTTACATCTATTAATTTTATTTGGCCTGAGTACCTACTGTCTGTTAGGATCTGTAATTGCCATTGGTGTTACTTGGTCCAGAAAGAAAAGGGCAGCCTCAAAAAGACTACATCTTCTTATGAAGACAGAAAAAACAAAACAACAACAACTACAACAAAACCCAACAACAACCGCCACAAAACAAAATAAAACAAACAAAACCACACCATGTACATATGGTAAACTCATTTGAAAAACAAAACAGTGTTGTTAGTTGAGTCTGGAGTAGAATTCATGGTTGGGGATGAGGCTATGGAGACAAGACAGATGTCAGATGAAACACAGGAGTTGGGATTTCATTCTTTAGATACAGGATGATCAGTTAAGACAATTTTATTTTTGTACAATGAAATGAAAACAATTTAAATTGCTCAAGAAACACTGATGAAAAAGACTGTAAGACCATAGGTGTCCTCTTATAAGTCAACTCTGGTCACTATACTGTATTGATTAAAAGAAGGGGGAAAAGCTGGTAGCATTTTCTTTGGGGCTTGTATGTTTACCTACCCCACACTGTGGAGAGATGATCAGAGGACCAGAGACTGGAAAATGCAACAGATAACTCATGTCTAAAATCATTTAACTAGAATGAAGAAAGCATACAGGAAAAATGTGCGCCAGTCAGCCTGGAATCTTGACACTGTTAAATTAGGAGTGGCAAATGGGTCACAAGTGTCCTTTCCCCAGACTCATCAATTTGACCACTGGAGTGGTTTATGTAGAATTTATGTGTAGTAGAGTTTTGTTTGGAGGCAAACAAGTAATGTAGTAGTTGAGTCAGACAATGTGGAGAGAAGACCTGTGTCACACTGGAGTGACAAGTCAGTTATTTGGTAATAAGGCCACCGGCAATGAGGTGAGGTTTGTCACTCTGGAACTACCTCGTAGAGGTGGGGTCGAAGGGCTGGCAGTCTGCCTTTAGTGAAATAACCAATCCAAGGGGGAGGGCAGACAGATTAACAAACAGCTTTAATCTTGAACTACTGTGGACAGTAACAAAAAACAGACAAAAACTAGGATTGTAGAGGATAATGCAATCAATGGGAAGTAAACATGTTGAGTTGATAAATATACCATAGAGTACTTCTTTGTTCAGACTGGTTTGTTCTGTGGGGATATCCCCACTGCTTCGCTCTCCACTTAAATACTGATATTTGGGACTAGTCACTTTAAACTTACTGACAGGGAGTTGGTTGAGAAAGGTTACCACGCCCTTTTAATGGTCGAGTGGGTGGCCCTGAAAAGGGCCTTTGCACAATCTGTGAACGTGGGCAGCTCAACCGCCGAACCCATAGAGCGTGCGGCCCTGGCGCTTGAGCGCGTAGACCACGTCCATGGCCGTGACGGTCTTGCGCTTGGCGTGTTCTGTGTAGGTGACCGCGTCGCGGATCACGTTCTCCAGGAACACCTTCAGCACCCCGCGGGTCTCCTCGTAGATGAGGCCGGAGATGCGCTTGACTCCGCCACGGCGAGCCAGGCGGCGGATGGCGGGCTTGGTGATGCCCTGGATGTTGTCGCGGAGGACCTTGCGGTGGCGCTTAGCACCGCCCTTACCAAGGCCTTTTCCGCCCTTGCCACGGCCAGACATAGTTAAAAAGAAGACAAAACTGAACTCGAGCTGGTCAAGCGCCCTCTACAGCTGCTATATATACTAGGACTGCGGACCTTTTAGGAAACTGAAAAGGCGCGGGCGGGAAGGTGCTTTTGTGTCCGCCCCTCTTCCTAACTGGCTGAATTCCCCTTGCATGGAGGTCACAGGTGCTATGGCGTGAGGGGGAATGTGAGCCTCCCGCTTTCCTCTTGGAGTTCTTAGTTACTAGTTTATGTCATTTAGGAGTGTACTTGTGGGTTCAGACAGCTGATATTTGATAAATCTCCTAGTCAGTCATCATTTGCAAAAAGGTTGTGGCCATACACTTGTCTACAAAAACCAAGATACAGTACAATACCTTTTAAGTGGAAGACTTTGAAAAGAGCAAAGCCTCAGTTTTAACAAGCATTATTAAATATGACCTGTCAAGAAGCTTTGCAAATTAAGAAAGGAACACCTAAATTATGTAAAATAACAGCTCAATATGTTGCTGAAGTAAGGCTGTACACATACATCAGTGTGAGATGTCTAATGAATTTCTGTTTTCTCACACTGCACACAATTTGGTTAAGTACGTTTTTTTTTGTGCACAACAGAGGTAATTATTTCTTGATTTTTTTTTTTTTTTTTAAACAGTGGAGCAGAGGAAGTTTATAGTCCAGATGGAAATCCCTCCTGAGGCAATTACTTTTACCGTCTGTTGTGCTGATGTGAGGCCATCTTGAAGATGTGCTTTGTCTAGTGCTTGTCTGATAAATGTCTATGGTGATGGAAGAGGAAACAAAAAAAGGTATTAAAACCCAGAATGCACTTGGTATATCCTAAATAACCCACAGAGCGCTCTCATATTTCTTTTCAGAAAGACACCAGTTTTATACTCCATGCACTCTAAATGCCAGCATGCCAAAGCTGGTATTTGAACAAAACATTAAACAACACAGTGACAGCCTCTTCCCCACCTGAAGAACTGAAAATCAACCTAAGGGGAAATTAAATTGAGGATGAGGGGTCTGATGTGGTTTCAGTTTGGCATATTCCTTGCTGGTTCCTGGTTTTCCAGGGAAGTAGCAAAATCCCAGTTAAATTGTAAGGACAACTATTTTAAATACACCGTTTCAGTTATGCAGACTGCGGATGGGAATGCATTGCATACTGGAGAACTGGCCTTTCTAAAGACACATAAGTTTTAGACTACTGCTCAAGTATACTAGAAGCTGTTCGGCTTCTAGATATTGCAGATGTGGGGGTGGGGCAAGGAAACTGGGCATCTGGAAGCATTCACTTAACTATTTAAAAGTGCCCGTTTTAGAAAGTGAAATTAATGCAGACAGGTTGTTCTTGGATGTGAGTTTCAAGTTGCCACTATGTTAAGGATATTCCAATGGAGAGGAATGTAAAACTGATGCTAATTTCTCATCAGCCTTTTGAGCACATTTAACTCCACTAAAACTGTCTCCTTCCCCTTACTTTATTTCCTCTTCTTCATACTTATCTTAATTATTATTTTTTTTTTTCTGTCAAAAAACTTGACTCTGTAGGCCAGGCTGGCTTCTGATTTAGAGATCTACCCTTGGCTGCCACCAGAGTGATGAGATTAAAGGCATGGAGCATCACTGCCCAATTGATGATACTTATTTTATACAACCACCCTTTCCTGTAGCTTTTGAAAGTCTTTAAATTTTAAAATGCCTGGGAAGTTGTCCTATAATGAATGAGACTGCTGTTACTATGGTAATGGTGTATAGTTGTGTTTGTTTATCTATCCCCAAATTGAGCAAAGATGAACACATAAATTCCATGGCTCTCACTTATAGGAATTTTTATTGTTTTTAATCTCTATGTAAATAGTTCAAGCATTACTGCAGAGGATAATCATTTGTTTTATGATATAGTTACATTTTGAATTCAAGGCTAAAATCATGTGACGCTACCATTCAAACTGAGTGAAAATCTGTAAAGGTACTTGTGGGTTCAAGTTTGTAGACTCATGGCTGATCCAGGCTTGAAGAGCTTTGTTCTTGCTAGTTATAGTAAGGATAAGTAGCCAGGCCTCAGCAGTAACAAGTTAACTGTATACAGTGTGTCCTCTTTCTGTAAATATGTAGAAAACAATTTTCAATGTCTTGTGTCCAGGAACATGAAAGTACCAAAAAGGAATTTCGTGGTGGTTCAAGTACTTTCTCATATTTGGGGAGTTTAAATAGCCATGGTGCCCAGTAAGAGTTATGAAAAAATGCAATGCTAACATCTGCTAAATGAATAAATATAAGTAGGCAATGCCAATAAGTAGTCAGCAATGGCTACCATGATTATAGAAGTGAATGGAGGTATAAGAAATTTAAAATTTTGACTTTAATCTTATCTTTATGAGTAGGCAAAGCAAAGCTATATATAAAACAGGAAAAGGTAGATGTATTTCCTGGGATGACTGTTATGCACAGTGAGTGCACAGATAATACAAACAGCTCCTTCCATATATTCTGAAAATGCTATGTAAGGAAATCATTGAGTAATTCTGGTCCAGTTTTATGGACTGGGAAATCTTGTATATAACCTATATATTTTAGTACTTTATATCATAACATGTTATATCCCAGAGGCTTGGTTATTGTTTCCACTGAATAAATGATCATTTTACAGCATACCAAGTTATGTGTGTGTAGCTAGGTAAGTGTGAGGAGAAGACATATCTTAAGGACTGACTAGTTAGTCTCATGTTAAAATAAGTACATATGTAAATCATTAAGTTAATAGCATAATGAGATTTGGTGAATATGAGGATTTATTAAACTATAACACTAAAACACTTTTCTTATTTGTTTAACAGACTTGGGTCTTCAAGGAAATGTCTATTTAATGGAAAATATTACTTTTCTGCTTCATCATCCAATAAGAACCTAAGTATATAAGCTTCATTGTATTGCAAACTAACAGACATAGAATTTTCAAGTCATTCGTGCTCATTCTGAAATGTCTGTTCAGAACGGTTCTCAGGGGGCTACAGTTAATAATTTTGTTTGGGACATATATGTAATAAGGTCAGAAACCATTATAAAAAAGCAGAAACAGGTTTTCCTTTCAAATTCTGCTTATTTTTCACTATTGAAATTCAAGTTATTTTAAAACACAGGAAGTATGCAGAAAATGCTATGAAAAATGTTGCAGGGGCCAAGCTTTAGAACAGTGCCCTAAAGTCATGTGCTTTCTAACAAGGAATGTGTTGTCAAGCCAGGTTGTATCCCACTTTCCTTCTTCTTTTAGTTGCTATGCTTCCTTCTTGACCTAGGTTTCTTTTTTTCCATACATGTGTTCGTTGGTCTCCACTGCTCACTAAATCTTAAGAAATGTGTTTATAACTTGATCTAGAACAGGAATGGCACAGACTCATATCAACTCCAGAAAATGGCTCAATCTCTAAAACAAGGAAATCGCTCCAAATTACACACTGGTATCTCAAATACTTTAACAAACGATAGGTATTTTATACAATAATCAATCCCCAGTCACGCACAACTTTCCCATGTAGTGCCAATTACTAGAGCTCCATACAGACAGCCCCGGGAGCATCTGTGTTGTTGCTTCCGCGAAAAACCCGTATTTCCCCACATATTTGAGTAAAACCAAGTTAATCTATATAATTTTGAAAAGATAAGAATGTGCAGAACCTTGTCCAGAAACAAAAGTTTGCGAATGATGGCGACAGAAATAGTATTTTTAAGGAAAACCTTAAAGTTGTCTCAATTTACGTGAAGTTTGAAAGAGAGTTGGGTCAATCAGGGAAGGTTCAGGTTGCCGATTTTGAATGTATCTGTACAAATTAAGGATAGAATGAAGCATACAGGCTCTAGGATTAGTTTCCCCCAGGTCCCTAGTTATTTCGTGCCCATATTTCTTATATTTTTAATCTTTTTTAAGGGGCAACAAACACAGCCACCAGGCAGAGCTGAAGATCCCTTCTCAGGCAGCGCGGCGCACGATGCAGGGAACCAATCACCATGCAGCTTCTCTCTATATAAACCCAGAGCCTTCACCACTGTGAGCAACTCTCGCTGACAGTTTGTTCTTACTTTTGGCTTTTCTGTCAAGACATTAACCATGTCCGAGACTGCTCCAGCAGCTCCTGCTGCTCCTGCACCTGTGGAGAAAACACCTGTGAAGAAGAAGGCGAAGAAGACAGGGTCTGCTGCAGGGAAGCGTAAGGCGTCCGGACCCCCGGTGTCCGAGCTCATCACCAAGGCTGTGGCTGCCTCTAAGGAGCGCAGCGGCGTGTCCCTGGCTGCGCTCAAGAAGGCGTTGGCGGCCGCCGGCTACGATGTGGAGAAGAACAACAGCCGCATCAAGCTGGGGCTCAAGAGCCTGGTGAGCAAGGGCACCCTGGTGCAGACCAAGGGCACCGGCGCCTCCGGCTCCTTCAAGCTCAACAAGAAGGCAGCTTCCGGCGAGGCCAAGCCCAAAGCCAAGAAGGCAGGCGCGGCCAAGGCTAAGAAGCCCGCGGGTGCAGCCAAGAAGCCCAAGAAGGCGACTGGTGCTGCCACCCCCAAGAAAGCCGCCAAGAAGACTCCGAAGAAGGCGAAGAAGCCCGCGTCTGCCGCAGGCTCCAAGAAAGTTGCTAAGAGTCCGAAAAAGGTGAAGGCAGCTAAACCCAAGAAGGCAGCCAAGAGTCCAGCAAAGGCCAAAGCCCCCAAGCCTAAGGCTAATAAGCCCAAGGCGACCAAACCTAAGGCCACCAAGGCAAAGAAGGCCTCTCCCCGCAAGAAGTAATGTGGTGCGTCCTGCCTGGAAATCTCAAAACGGCTCTTTTCAGAGCCACCCACAGATCCATTCAAAAGAGCTGCACTGTTTCTGGCAGTGTTTTACATTGCCTTTTGTGCTTTTGGTCAGCTGACTTCATCTACGTGGTCGAAAGCGCAGCGGTAGGGGTCCTCTTTGGTATGGTTTTTAAGTGTTTTGGAGGTACTTAAGTGTCCCGAGTGGAGCTAGGTCGTGACATTCAGTTGTTGGCTGTGGCCCATTTTAATAAGCCTATGACGGGGCACTAACTTGGGCGTGTTATGTCTATAGGTATTGTTACAATCACTGGCTTCACGGCGGGAAGTTCTCATTTCTGGCGCGTAGGCGTGGTAGTTTTCTCTTTCGCAAACCAATCCGACAATGGGATTACAGGTTGGTCTTGACACTTGGAAATTTCCTTCCCTATAGGTCCGCAGACCGTGGTTTTGAGAATTACCCAATCAGACTTTCTTATTAGTCGTGTGTGGAAACCTTGAGCCAATCAGCGTTTGGGATATTAATGTTTGCGTTTGTGTAAGGACGCTGGCATTCTCATTACCCCCTCCTTCCCTATCGCCCCCTCCTTTCATCTCCCTCTCGTCCCCCTCCGGAAGTCAGTTGTAACTGGATGAGAGGGTCTGGTATGTATGTATGTATGTATGTATGTATGTATGTATGTATGTATGTATTTAGTTTGCTGCGAAATTGGGTGAAAGACTTGAATATCTCCCCATGCTCGAAGTTTGTAGGGACTGATACCATTGTATGCCTTTAAAACATCCTTATACTAAGTTTCAGTACGTTTGGCAGTTCACACACCTCATTGCTTCTTCATACATTGTTCCGAGCTTAGCTGTTCTTCCTTGTGTGGACAGTAAAGCAGTAGACAATGTGAAGGTAAACCCATTTTGGAAGGCTGTCTGGTTTGCAGCTGGATTTGTGAAAATTAAGAAATAAAAAAGAAGCTGAAATGGAACTGATTTTATGACTGTCATTTTCATTTCTTCATTGTTGGTATTGCCGACTTTTATCTTTATTTTATTTTGTGGGAGCACACTATTTTCGTTTCATCCTGATAATATGAAAATTCTACAGATGCTTAATGGAGCTCCTATAAATAAGAAATTACATAATACTTTAAAAATATTTTTCTTTTATACATATTTGTGTGTAGGTCAGAGGACAACTTGGAATATTCAGCTCTCTTTCTCTATGTGGGTTCCAGGCCTTGAAGCAAGTGCCTCTACCGACTACGATATAATGTGTGTAATGTAATCCTACATTTTAATCTAGCATTTCCTTACGAGGATAGTGGGCCACTTAGAGATGCTTCAGTAGGTAAACAATTTCATAGCCAAGACTAAAGACTTTAGTTCAATCCCAGGGACCCGTTTATTGGAGAGAGAAAAAAAAAAAAAAAAAGATCCTTGCAAGAAATCCCTTGATTTCCAAAGGCTGGTGGCTGTGTAACACACACACACACATTCACGCACGCGCGCGCGCGCGCACACACACACACACACACACACACACACCAGGTAAGATAGAAGTGTGGTGATAGGTACTGAATTTGAATTTCATATCATTAAAAAAATAAAGGATAGGTAGCTTCCTATTACATTTTGAAGTGCCTGTGTTGTCTGTGTAATCAGATACTTGCAGAATACTTATTGTGTCTTCAAGTGAAGTTATATTCTGAGTGTTCCTTCTATCTGTTGCAGGAGGTGAAGTTCATATTCTGAGTGTTGTTAAGAATGATGAATAAACACATGGCTAAAAACATGGTCATTCTATAGTAACTAAATTCTAATATCTTGCATACTTTAAGTACTTAAAAATGATTGTTTTTAAGAATGTTTATTTAGTTTTCCACAGCCATTCCTATTGACTGCACAGGAAAAAAGAAGTGTGGATTGTTGAGCAGGTCTCCAAGAGGACAAGACCCAGTGAAAATGCCTGTTGCCATGTGTGTACCCTGCAAACCTAGCATTAAGGAGGCAGAGACAGGCACATCTTTCTTCTTACTTCTCTCTGTGAATGTGCATTTGACTGCATTTCTAGATTCCCATGATATTGCAGTTAAATAAGAATCATGATAAACAAATAGGCCAAATAGATGTTTATTCAGGGAGAAATAACTTACAACCTAGACAGATGAACACCAGGAAATTCCACCCTATGCTCTCCTGTCCGAGTCATGCCAGCAAGAGAGCTTTCCCCGGCTCTCTCTCTGCTCCCCTTCCACAGGTCACTTCTGCCCATCATTCCACCCCCCCAAAGGGCGTGGTCAGTGCCACAGAAGCACTATCTCACTACAATTCCCCTTTTAGTCTAAAGAAAAGACTTAGGCTTAATACAAAACTATATATAAAACAGTGAATAACAAGTGTGCTCTAAGAAAAGGAAAATCGAGACCAAAAATGACCTACATATCTAGTCCTAGGGTGAAGGCAAAACGGAATTTACAATAGAGTTGTCCTAAGCTGGAAAACGTAAGTCTAGTACCTAATATATCTAACTAGGAAGAGAGAATAATAGTTGTGATAGTTTAATCTTCAACCTCATCAAGACCTGAGAAGGAAAATAACAATACTAGAGTAGACAGGAAGTGCAGATGGACAACTTTCAAAAGGTGCAGCAAGGACAGAAACAGCAAGCCACCTGGACAGTTACCCTAGGTCTCACAGCAATGTTGATGATGGGAGATGTCATTCTGTATATGTTTCTCATACTGGTTAATGAATAAAGCACTGTTGGCCAATAGGAAAGCAAGATAGGCGGGACTAGGAGACAAGGAGTAAGGAGGAGCCAAGATGGAGAGACTTGGGAGAGGAGATGCTGGCCCCTTTCCCTGGTAAGAAGACCACGTGGAAATACATAGAAATGGGTTAATACTTAAGACAGAGCTAGCCGATAAGAAACAAGTATCTGGCCAACATAATTATATCTAATACAGAGTCTCAGTGTGTTAATTGGGGCTGGCGTGGCGGCGGGACAAGACCAGGCGGCGGGCAGAAAAACCGTACTCCTTATACCATGAACTGAATTAGAATACTGTCTGATATCAATTGGAGTTAGAGTTAAAGCACATATATCCCATTGTGTAATGGGGATATTTTTCTGACCCTCCTCTTTATGGCCTAGTTTATTACCATCTCCCTTTCCTTCTTAAGCATGCAACTCCAAATTTTGAAAAATATACATAATAGAAAAATTTCCATCTGTGAAATGTTAATATTTAAAATATGTGGATGGACTAGAGAATGTAGAAAAACAAATGCTATTTTTGAATTTTCTTGTATTTTGGCTATTATTTCTGTAAGATAAAATTGCTGGATATTTATGGATTACCCCACTTTAAAAAAAAATCCATTGAGTGTCATGATCTTATGAAATAACAAAAGCATGTGAACAAATGATGTAGCTTGTAGTTTTATATAACAGGAACCTTTGGACTCCAACCCATGGCTAATTTAAATACTTTATTGTTCAATGATCAAACACTGATAGGGACACAATAATATGGGAACTGTATAGTGTCTATCATGACACTACATTTCTGTGAGAAGGAATGTACATACATACACTAATAATGATTTGCTTAGTTACATGGGTGTCATACAATTGACTGGCTCAGGAGGAATGCCTCAGGCCTATGGTGTTTTTGAATACCTGCTCCTGCTACAGAGGAGATATGATAAGGAGAAAAGCACCAACATGTTTCATTGTGTAGAAATATTACAGGTTATGCATATAATTTAATTCTCCTATACTGTGTGCAAAAACCTAGCCAGGCTTGTTCCTCATTTTCCTTCATGTGACCCCCCCCTTTTTTTTTTTCTGGTGACTGCAGCATCTGTTGAACAAATCTGGTTTGTGGATATTTAAAATTATCATTATCATCATTATTAGTATTATTGCTAGCTGCAAGATTAAAATGTTGGTAAAGATGACTCTTTGAGAAGAGTAGCTCTGGTTTTTCTGTACTGAGCAAGAGAGGTTCTGGTTTCTAAATCTTGTCTTGGGAAGAGGTGGATAGGAGAACTGATGGTAAGAACTTTATTTCTGAATCTGCTTCTGATACTTTACTCATTATATTATTTTGAATTTTGTAAAAATTTTGTTCTATTTTATTTTGTTTAGAGACAGGGTCTCACTATGTATCCAGGCTGGCCTGCTTGTAATTACTGATATAGACCAGGCTGGTTTGAGGTCATAGAGATTCACCTGTCTCTGCTTACCTGTCCTAGGATTAAAAGTGTATAGCTCTGTGGCAAAACATAATTTTGAGTTTTTGAGACAGGTCTTTGTCACCTATCCCATGATAACCTCAAACTCACTATACAGCTAAGGATAACTGAATTTGTGATCCTCCATTTCTCAGGTTCTGGAATTACATTTATCTGCCACTTTGCACATCTCCTGAGACTTTAATCTTTGGGTAGTTTTTAGAAAAAAAATTATGCCTGTAAGCCAGAAATGACTTGCTGGATCTCACATAGCTGGCGATCTTTTGCATAAGCTTGCACTACCTATGTGTATGTTATTAGTGTTCACAAGTTTCACTGTGGGAGAAAATATTTAAAATCGGAAGTACTAACCATTTTATATTTTTCTAAAATTAGAATTTAAACCTGCAGAATGAAAGCCTGGAGCAAATTTTAAAAGATACATTTGTGTTTTATTACTTACATGCTGGAAATACAGTAATCCAATGTTATTGGACCAAAAAATAGTGAGGTATTAGATATACTTTAAAAATGTTTCTTTTAGTTATTTTGAGTGCAGAAAAGGTAGGTATAAATTATAAGGTCCAAATGTGTGATCTTAACTGAATTATTTTATGATTCTTTCTAAACATTTGAGTATCAGCTACCATTCTCATTGGTTGTCTTGAGAGGCATTAGGTTTAGAAGCAATTGAAGTTGGTCAATATCCCTGATATGTTCAACTTTAGAGTCCACCTTCCACTTACCATCTGAAAAGGTGGGGGGTTTCAGGGTTTCATTAAATTTCACTGGGAGAAATATACCTTCTCTTTGCCAGATGAATGAAATTGGTCTTCTAACTTGGCCTTGGGTAGAAACATGGCATTCTGATTAGGTTTTAAGATTTGACATTGCCTATTCATCATTTGGTTAAAAGACATCCCCCTCCACCCCTTAAAAAGCAGATATCTTGAAGATATGTTAAAGACCTGGAAAAATAATTATTCCATTAATGGGATAATTACTTTTATGTTCCAGGAGGCCCTTTTAAGATTATGTTTCCTGACACATTTTCTAAGCTCTAGTTAGAAAAGAACACATTTTTATCTTGTTCTTTTTTATTCATTTCCTTTTAAGTCACTCTTGTTTGTTTTGCAGGGATAGGATCTCTGGAAATGTCTGTCCTGGAACTTGATCTGTAAACTATTCTGGCCTTAAACTCCTACCTCTGCCTCTGGAGTGCTGGTTTTAAAAGGCCTGCACCACCACTAAGACAGTCTTACTGTATGTCCTGGCCTGGCCTCAACTTGCTATATACACCTGGCCAGACCTGCTTCTCTGCTGGCCAAGTGGGAGGGGATTAAAGGCTTGCATCATTAACTCTGGGCTTCTGCTTTCTCTTAGAACCCTTTCTACTCCCCTTTACAGCTGCTTGCCAACTCCAGTGGGTAAACATTCAAAGGGCATCGCTATTTCCTTCAGCTTTCTTGCTATTTTTCCCTCTTACAAACTCTTAAGATGAGTCTGATTATAGACTATAATCAGGAATTTAGCTCTGACTGGCCTGAAACTTGCAATGTAGAGTAGGTTGGTTAATTTAGCGGTCTGCCTGTCACCCAGGTTCTGGGATCAAGGCGCGAACCATCACACCCACCTAAAATTCTTATTGAAACAAAGAATCAATGGTAATTTGTCGTTTATGTTAAACCTTCAAAAATCTCACCATTGGGGAAGTGGAGGAAGTAATATCAGTTCAACATATTCCTCAGCTACTTGAAGCTTAAAACCCATCCCAGGATGGTCTAAAACCACCAAACCCGCAGGAATTTGATAATTTCAAACCACTGACATTGCTACTTGAGTGCTAAACTGAATGTTAAATCTCTTAAGTTGACATAAAACTCGCTTCAGCCGGCTGGTGTCGCATGTATTTAATCACAGCTCTCAGATTAAGACCGGCAAAGACTTATAGAACCGGAAGGCCTAGGTACCCAGTCTCCCAAAGTTAACTTAATTCTCGATAGATTTAGATGTAATGAAGAGCACCTTCATAGTCCAACCTAAGTTTCACAAGTAATACAGCATCTCCTGGAGATAACGGAGGTGGCTCTTAAAAGAGCCTTTTTGAGTTTGTCAATATGCCAACGTGATCAAGCCCTCTCCCCGCGAATGCGGCGGGCCAGCTGGATGTCTTTGGGCATGATGGTGACTCGCTTGGCGTGGATGGCGCACAGGTTGGTGTCCTCAAACAGACCCACGAGATAGGCCTCGCTGGCCTCTTGCAGCGCCATGACAGCCGAGCTCTGGAAGCGCAGGTCGGTCTTGAAATCCTGCGCGATCTCGCGCACCAGGCGCTGGAACGGCAGTTTGCGGATCAGCAGCTCGGTGGACTTCTGGTAGCGCCGGATCTCGCGCAGCGCCACGGTGCCGGGCCGGTAGCGGTGGGGCTTCTTCACGCCGCCGGTGGCCGGGGCGCTCTTGCGAGCAGCCTTGGTGGCCAGCTGTTTGCGCGGGGCCTTGCCGCCGGTAGACTTACGAGCGGTCTGCTTGGTACGAGCCATTGCACCAGAAAAGCGAGAGGGATACTGTGGCGGCGCTGGTATTTATACAGGAAATGCGGCGCTCTGATTGGATCTTGGCCAGCAGCTCTCAGGCTTCCGTCCGAATTTGCGGAAGTGCTTCTAGGGCTTGAGGATTGGTGGATTTTTCCAGTGTAATATTTGATTGCTAAATTCCAATTCCAATGTTAAACCCGCCCTTAAGTCCAGTAGCTCGTCACTGACCAACGTTATTAGTTTCGTCTGGTGTTTGGGAACTTGACTTGATGTACACAAAGCATGCTTAAGAACCAAGTGCCCTAGAATTATAGTTTAACCACTTCCCCTCTCTTCGCCATTTCCCTGCTTAATAGTGTCACTTGTTATTTCAAAATTGCTCACAGCGTTCATCTGGGGGGCGAAAACCTTACGAGTGAGGCTCTGATTTCCACTGTCGTCATGGATATTAAAAGAAGCGAACTTTTTATCCTTCAGCACAGCCCCTTTTTATTTACGATGTGTTGGGGCATATCGAGGAATCATTTGAAACCTCGGAAAAGATGGCCGCGCGGCGCTTTAGTAGATGCTTTGTACCGCGGAGATCTGAGGCACCGGGACAGAGAGAAGGAATGCTTTGTTTGCTCTTTGCCACATTATAGACTTAATTCCTTTCCTTAATTTCAGGCAAAACACGACCGTGAGTTTTCAAATGATAACATAGACGTGTACTGGTAGTTATGCATAAAATGCTTAAGGTACAAAATTAGAACCTATACTTGCCAAACAGCATAGAACTGAAAATGTCGTTTCTTTCAATCCCCTCACAATGTTTCAGAATTTTATTTATACTCCTAAGTGCACTGGCTTTGGACCAATCAGAGTTTAGATTGGTAACTCCTCGTTTACATATTTCCCCCATTGTACAGTGACTGGAAAGAGAGTCTCAATAGTTTCCATTTGGTAGCAGTATTGCTCCGTTTACCAGGTTCAAAGAGAACGTCTACGACTTTATTTCCCAAGTTAATGCTCGGAGTCATGTCTGTCTGTCTGTTTCTTTTTTCTTTTTATTGATTTTATTCGAGACAGGGTTTCTGTGTGGTGTCGGAAGCTGTCCTGGAAGAGCTCTTGCAGATCAGGCTGGTCTGGAACTCATAAAGATCTGCCTGCCTGTCTTCTGAGTACTGGGATTAAAAGCGTGTGCCACCAATACCTGATGACTTGTCTGTCCATAAAGCACACTTTTTTTTTTTTTTTTTTTTTTTTTTTTGAGCAAGATTGAATGACCTTTGGTAAATAGTCGTTGAGTATATGTCAAGGCTTAAAAATGTGCCATTAACAAAAATCACCCACACAAGTTCCATAGTTCCAAAGTTCCTGGAGTGTGACACAAAAGTTTTACATGATAATCGAGTTTTTCTTTTTGTCCTGTAACACTGGCTTTACTGAGCTGAAGATTTGTTTCAGTTTATGTTTTAATTAAGTAGTATGTTGGTGCACTGTATTATCTATTTTTGCATGACAGTCTTAAAATTCATTGGCTTTAACGTGTGCAGGCATGTGGTGTTCTAGTTTATATGTCTGTCTATGCTTACTCCAGCTCTTTGTAGGAATACAGTGAAAGTATGAATCAGGATTGAGATTTCCTTGAGCAGGATCATTTTACATGTTCCAAATGAAGTAAGGCAGGTGGTGGTGTTCTTTCTTTCTTTCTTTTTTTTCCCCCCCAGAACTGTTTTCGTGGTAGGCATAGTAGAGTGCCCTAGAGGAGAGAAAACAGGAACTAACCACGGGGACTGTCATGTTAGGAACTGAACATATCTCTCCTATTGCCCCTTCCTTTCCTTTCATTCGAGCAGACACTGCCTAACAATTTAAAATATCCAACCCCATTGTAAGTAACTATGTATGGGAGAAACACACAAACCAAAACCATATAAAAGGCCCTATTTTTCCATGCTCCTTGCTACATCTGTTTAGGTTCATCCCAACCTGGGCATGCATATTAATGTTGTTTTTCTGGAGAAGCCTACAGAGCCTGTATTTGATTACAATTGTAGAACAGTTGTGTTTTCCTGCAAGGTGTTAGCTGGAGGGACCTCAAGGTGTATAGATGACAATAGGCGATTGTTCTCACAAATGGCAGATGGTCATTGAACTGTTTGTACACACTGACAAGTCTCTCCATGGATGCAGCAATCCAAATCAGACCAAATCAAACCAAATGAGAAAAAGCCCATGTTTAATGGCTATAACACTCCCCAGGGAGGAGATGGGAAAGGGATATGGGAAAAACGATGAGTATGTTATCAGGTGGACAATTTAAATACGCTGCGGGAGAGGTCTTGAGCATCTGTGTGGGAGGAGTTATCATTTGTGGGGCTTCTTGAGGTGTAGCAGGGTTTGGAGGGAGCTAGGGGAGGGGGTTTGGGTGGAACTTTCACCATTACATCCCAGGCTCTGGATATATGGATGCTAGGGACTGGAGTGACACTTCAATCATAACAGTTATTGCACACATAATTTTATATGCTAATTTATTTGCATTTTCTTTGTTGAACTTACAAGTAAGAATAAGGTATAGATGTAGCCTACCTTATAGTTATAGGTCATGTCAGATTGAACCCTAGGAGGGGTAGCTCTAAGAGGAAGTATGTGAAAAAAAAAGCATGTGACTGTGGGATGGGTGTTGGTTTTCAACTTGACTATATCTGTAACAAACTACAGTACTGAAATGGTGGACAAGCTGGTGATCTGGATCTTGAAGTAGGATAACATAGGCCTTGAAAGATTTTAGTTTGCAGAGCAAGGACGTAGAAAAGAGACAAGAAAAATAGTTCTTGCATGCAGAATATAGAAAATCACAAAAATGGATGTGGACATGGGTGGAAAGATCAGGAATTATGAGAACAAGAAAGTTTACTATGATGATGGGCTAGTGGTTATATGCTAGGCTGATCCTGTCAAATAGGGATAGTTACTGAATCATCAAACCTTTGTGGAATAACTGAGGGCCAAGAGAAAGTTTCTCACAGGTCTTGGCCCACCACAAGGAAATAAACCCCAACCCTGGAACAAATGGTTTCAGATGACCAACCCTGTCTGGGTCATACCTGGCGAACGGACAGTTTGGGGACTTTTCCAGTCATTCTATGGTTTTTCCCTTGAAGAAGAACAGGTCACACCTAGGCGATCTTTCAAACATGAGATCATACTTTGTAATCGGTCACCTTGTGCCCCATGCATGTGCCCCATGCTGATTTGCGGGTTGTCTCTATAAAAAGGAGCCTGAACCCTGTGAGGGGTGTGCAGCTTTCCCCGAGATTGCTGACACCCAAGTGCACTCGTTCAATAAACAACTCTTGCTTGTTACATCTCCTGGTTTTGGTGTTTGTGTCGTAGGGCTCTCCCATCAGCCCATCAGGACTCCGGAATTTGGGTCTTACAGCCTTTAATCCAGATATTGAGGCAAGAAGGCACACCTTTAGCCTGGGCCACACCGTCTGCTGGACAATGGAAGAAGGAGGTACTTATTTGATCTTATTTGCCCTTGCCCTGTCAACTTGTCCATTCCTTCACTGGCATTGGAGCCTACTTCTTTGGGATTTTAGTATGTATAGAAGACCAGCTGAGACAATTGTGAGGCTGAGCAACTACTAGATTATTGGACCCTCTGTTCAGTTAGTCTGCCCATGTTGGATTAGTGGGACAGTAGCCTGTAAATCATTACAATAAATTTCTACACATATATAATTTTTCCTATTACACAAGTCCTGTGACATTAGAAAACTCTGATCCACATACTATATCTTTCAGACTTTTGATTAATTCAATTAATTTGAAAACATGACAGTACTGAGACAAAGGATGGACACCAAAATTTTCAAGATGCTTTTAAATGGTTTTCACCTATAACCATGTGTAAGAGATACATAAGTAGCATGAGACAAAAATCCATTGTGGCCTAATTTCTAAGTTTTCCAGCTGAGTTCAATGTGACAATGATTCTCAAGAGAAAGAAATACATGTGTGTTTTAGGATTTTGTGTGTGTGTGTGTGTGTGTGTGTGTGTGTGTGTGTGTGCCTGTGTGTGTGACTTAGTAGCCCTCATAAATCAAAACACACAGAGGGCCTAATTCATTACTTGCTGATTTTGACTGTAGTTTAATCTCAACACATGAGAAGAAAAGGAATTTGGTTAAGGCAAATAACTAAGGTTGGACCAGAAGCTGGCAATATTCAGTTCAGGTCGGGTCACAATGCTTTTTTACTTGCACACTGTGTATTCTCTGTTCTGGAGGTAGATGTTCTTTCCTTTGATTATAGGAAGTGAACATTCTGTGGGCTCCAGGTGGATGTTGTTTCCTTCGTTGAAGCAGGAAGTGACAGGTCAAGTCAAGGTGACCTTTTTATAGCTGTTTTTTTTTTTTTGTTTTGTTTTGTTTTGTTTTGTTTTAAATGCTTGTGTATGGGTGCTTTCCCAGCATGCCTGTATATATATATGTTACACCATATGTATGCAGTGGCCTTGGAGGCCATAAGACAACATCAGAGGAGTGGGACTGAAGTTACAGATGGTTGTCAGTTGTCCATCAGTTATAGGATCTGCACCCATTCCTCCGGCAAGGCAGAATATGATCCTAACTGCTGTGCTATCTCTCCAGCTCCAACAGCTTTGACTTTTTTTAAATGTACAACTGTAGCTCTAAAAATATGTCCAAATCTCCTATTTGGGGCTTGGGTGGTCTGTCACTCTGTGAAGCCAGACTTAAGGATAAACTTACATTGTAATTTAATTTTATACTCCTATTGTAAGACCCTCAGAATGAGGGGTCTTCCAGTTTGGTCGGTGCCCCAAGAACTCAATGTCCAGTCCAGTTGCTGCAACACGCAAGGGGCTTTAATGAACAGGAAACGTTTGTGCAAACTGGATCCTCCAGCATGCAGTCTAGAGAGAAGCCCCCTCCCCCTGGCCCAGGTGTTTTAAAAGGCAAACCCACAAGCTTAGGGAGGGGGTGGGACCCTCCGT